GATGATATAACTTCACATGAGAATGATGCATGCCTAGTTAACTTGAATGCATCATGTGTTGAGTTACTTGTGCACACCACCTATTTTAGAGAATCTTGTTACTGTCATGAATGCGTCATGTGATCAAATAACTAAAATACCAACAATTTTGAGTGCACCCATTGAATTAACCGTTGATGCAAAAGAATCAATGTTTAATCATTTTGATATGACCTCTAATCTTGGTGATGATTCTATGTCCAATGACTTATTGCATGTTTGCTTATTTAAGCATGTTGTAGCATGTAAATTTGATGCAAGTAAGGTTTATTCACCAATGTTGGGATGGTTTAATGATGAACATTGTCAATCTTTTGAAATGAATAAGAGCTTCACTTATATGTGCAAACTGAGTTGCAATATTTTCATGCCTTATACTTCTTGTGATAATTTTTTGGCTTTAGATTTTATGAACTATGAAAGTTACTCATGTATACATGTGTCATATGTGCAAAAATCAAGGGAAGTAAAAATGGATGACAGATATATATACAACATGTACACCTTATCTCTTTTGTTAGCCACATTTCAGATTAAGCAACGCCGAGGACGGCTTTGTTTTCAAGAAGGGGAGGATGATGAGTCAACCTGGACGTGGCGAGCGGGCTTTCGGCCCGGCTCGCGGCTCGCTATGGACCGGACCGTACGGTCTTGGCCCGCTCAAGAATATGGTCGGTCCGGTTATGAAATATCAGCCCGTAAAAGTGTCGGTCCGGTCCGGTTTTAGCTCGGTCCAACTCGGTTAACCGAAACAACGCAACTCAAAAACAACCCAGCACACGATTCTGCGATGTGCGTAATCAGCGTTCTTTTGTTTTCTTTCCTTTTTATTCTGTCCGATCCACACATCTCGGAGATCATGACGGGTCGTTACGCTACACCTCCCCACGATCTGCCATCTAACTGAAGATCGATCAGAGGCAGACTAAACTTTTGTACGTGGGCATAGCCGTGATAGGCCCTGTTTATTTGCAACATGCAAATTGTAAAGAGGATCAACATGGCACATGCAACAACCCTGCAGTGCAGACTCCTTTCGGCTCAACAGAGTTAACGTGACAGAAATCAGAATTAACGTGTCAAAAAAAACAGGAAGCAACGAGGCAACACCATTAATTACATAACACTACCTCGTGAGTAACATAGCTTCCATGGGATTCATCCGCTCAGGGGCCTCCCAGATGAAAAAACTCCAGCTACACATGGTAGGAAGGAAGAACTAGGGCACCAGCCTGAACGCACTGACGGTGACGCCGCCGCTGCTACTCGAGGCGTCCCTGCGCTTCTTCTCAACGAGCTCAGAGAAGGCCATGTCGAGCGTGGCGATGAGGCCCGCGGCTGCTTCCCCTCTCCTTCCTCTCCTTCCCATACCCTATAGACTCCCATCGCCGTGCGCTGCCACTCGCCGTCGCCGTCCGCCGCCGCTCGCCGTCGCCGTACACCAACATGGGCGGTCCACTCAGTCCGGCACGAGCTTTACCACTGCCGGTCCGGTCCAGGAAAAGAGGACCGAGGAGTTGCTCGGTCCGGTCCGGTCCGCCGCCTGCCGATCCAAACAGCGGCTCGGTCAGGGACCGGACCGGCCCGGACCGTGTCCACCCTGAATGATGAGAACATGACTACCTTGGATACGACCAAAAATATTGCATACATGCATATTTGTTAGGTGATTTCTAGTGCAAACTATTCAATAATCTATTTATGTTATTCAGAACAAAAATACTTCAGACTCTTTTGTGTTTTGTCTAATTGCAGGTGTATGGGACATTTGTACAATCCACATATGAAGATAAGGGAAAAGGAGAACTTTAGGTTCTATTCAAAAAGTCCTCTCACGTCACTTTTGGGCCAAGAGAAGATAGAGTCCAAGCCTCTCACATTCTGGATTCAGATTCTGACTGTACAAACATGCCTGACTCAAAACGTCAACAACTTTTTCATACGGACTCCGAATTAGGTGATTCTTTTTTTCATGGAAAGTAGATTTCGTGCTCTTTCCAACCCATTTGGAATCACCTTCAAATTAGTCCGGAGCATTGAGATATCGACGAAACAATCTGATGCTGCAGCAGAATCTGAGTCAAACAACAAGTCCAAAGGTGTTGCACCACCTCCACTTGGGCCCATGAGCCTTGTACGACCTAGGGTTAGTTTTAGGATTCCTTGGGACATCCTTCCACCTCCTTGGCCGCCACCCCTTGCTCCTACATAAGTAGATCCATCTAGTAGCTTTTTTCTTGGGATTTGTTTAGTTAAAAGTTAGCTATTGCAACTTCGTGTACTTTGTTTGTGTCCAACGACCAGACCAAGACCGCTTTCGGATCCCCACCTTTATCAATACTTCATCTATATTCGCAATATTCAGATTGCATTATCATATTCTTGCTTGTTCTTCGATTGCGTGCAGGAATAGACCTTCGTGGTCAGGCTGATCATGCTTCCAGCATCGTCAGTAACCTCGGGAGGTTGGTTTAGCAATTGCTAAGGCGCAACGTCGTGCACGTTTGTAGTCGGATCGTCAAAGTTGTCTTCACCAAATCGATAGTTATCATCTCATCGAAAGATCGGGACACCCTCGCCTCTATCAAGTCGTGGACATGGATGGATGAAGGTAACTATCCACATGTCAAAGTCATGAATTGGTTTCGAGGTTTTATGGGTTTTAGCTCTAGCCTACTCCAATTTGTTTGAGGCTATAAAGGTTGTGTTGTTGTTTCCTTATATGGCATGAAATCTGTATCGGGTTTTTTCCGGAGAAACTTTCGTTCTATTCATCTTCAATCATGGCAATACGAACAACAAAAATATTAAAAACTGCATTTAGATCCGTAGATCACCTAGCGATGACTACATACCCCGAAGTGGGCCGAAAGCGCGCCACTGTCATCGTCCCTACCTCGGTGGAGTCGGGAAAAAATTGTTGTAGTAGATAGTCGGGAAGTCGTCATGCTAAGGCTCGTAAGACCAGCGCACCAGAACAACAACCGTTAATGATAAAGAGTAGCATAGATCAGAAGGATCCAACCTGAAGACACACACATATGTAGACGAACTACAACCCGATCCGAACAAATCCATCAAAGACATATTCGTCGAAGACACCTCCACACATCCACCGATGATGCTAGACGCACCACCGAGACGGGGGCTAGGCAGGGAGAAACTTATTCCATCTTCAGCGAGCCGCCATCGTCTCACCTTGCTGAGCAAAACACAAACCCTAACAAAATTCAAAGAAATGTCTAAAAACGAAACCCTCCCGCTGGCAAGGGCCGGGTTCCACCACGTCGCCATCACTGGAGAGAGGCAAACTGGTGGCGGCACCGGCGGAAGGAAGGGGAACCCTAAATTTTTTTTGGAGAAAAGGCGAGATTTATTTGCTCATGGATAATTCTTAATCTATACCTAATAATAATGAAAGGGTTATTGCTTCTTGCGGTATGTCATGGAAATTACCCTCAAAGTTGCAAAATATTGCCCACTGATGCCACCTGCAAGTGATAAAAAACATTTCACACACAGAAAACCCCTGCCTGGGTCGGCTCATGCAGTAGGGACCTCCTATACTGCGCTCTGTATGCTGGGAGAGGATGCAGAGCGTCCGTTTAGGTCGGCCATGTCCGGGCGGCCTGTTTTTTTTCTTCTGTTTTTTCTACTTTAAATAATTTCAGACTCCAAAAAAGTTCTGAAAATAAAAAAAAGAGAATTTTAAAATGAGATGTTTGTGGATTAAAAATGTTTGTGATTTTATAAAAAATGTTCGTGATTTTATAAAAAATGTTCAAAATTTTGAAAAAAGGTTCAGGATTTTTCCAAAAGTTTGTGTATTAAAAAATGTTAATGAACTTGAACAAAATTTCGCCAATTCAAAAAATGTTCATGAATGAAAAAATATCCTAAAAATTCGAAAACTGGTCGTGACTTACAAAATAGTTTATTCATTCATAAATTGTTCGTTGATTCAAAAATGATCATGCATTTTAAAAAATGTCCGTTAAATCAAAAAAAATGTTCGTGAATTTTAAAAATTATTCCACCATTTTTCATAGCAATGTTCGTCCATTCTAGAAATGTTCGCCGATTCAAGAAAATTGTTTAAAAAATGTTCATAAGTTTTTAAAAATGTTTGCAAATGTATAAAATGTTCATGAATTCAAAAAATGTTATTGATTTTAGAAAATGTTTGAAAATTTGTAAAAATTTTCATGAATTTAAAAAATATTCATGATTTCAAATGTGTTCATGAGTTTAAAAAATTGTTCATGATTTCATGAAATTGAGAGTGATAGTGTATCTCAATGATGCAGCAAAATGCAATCATGGTCATTGAAGATTTTTTTTCTCCCGTTGCAACGGACAGGCCTTTTGCTAGTTTGTATCATATATGAACAGCCTTTTGCTAGTTTGTATCATATATGAACAATTCCTCATAGTAAGCGGAACGTATATGGTGTTGTTACATAATCTAGTGTAGAATGAAGACATAATGTAAGGATAAGCTGATTTGCATCAAACCCCGACTCAAGTCATATCGTGTAATGCATAACACCAATAGCGTTCACGTCAAGAAACTATTTATCTCAAGCATGTATCTGAAAGAATTACCGGTGTAAACTTGGATTGAAGTATCACGTTGACAATATTCACGTACAGAACGGAAGTTATAACATTCTCTGCAAAGCATACATGTTCACCGGACGAAAAACACGATAAATTACACGACGAAGTACATTACACAGATGCAGTTCCATGCTCAACGCCTCAAATTTGATCAGTGAGAGAGACCCACTGCTACCTCGGCTTTTAGATATTTATGCAGCTACGTCGTCAGTCGCCACGAGGCAATTGAATGATGGGGAAAACACACAAAGATAGTGAGCTCTATGATATATGTCAACACATCGGGCTTCCCCTAAAATAGATTTTGCGCAGCATGATGTTCCCTTTTACAGTGTCCAAGCCTAAGCTGACGATTTCCCCGTCTGTTCTGCTAAAAAATGCTCGAGCATGTCCTCCTCGTCATCTGCACCCACATTAGGACGGCACGTTTTAAGGTACATGTCACTATCTAATATCCACAAAAAGTGCTAGTAGCATATTTACCTTCAAAATCGTCATCGAATTCGATATCCTCCTCCTCCTCTTCCTCATCTTCTTCAGCAACTGTACCTGCTCCTTTCTGAAAAGACAACTTATGTAATGAGAGAGTTACAAAAAACATCGATAAATACAGAAATAGAAACAGGTGGCAGTAGTTAGGCATGTCCGCAAGTATGCTGCACAGAGTCAAGGGAAAACATCTTATATAGGATGATGAACTCTACCGTTATATGCCTTCCACTTTCAAAATAGTGTCTTCCAGAGAGTTTCTTTTCCTTTGGGGCAGTAAGAGCTGACTCTGGCATTAGCCTGCACATAATGGAAACTCAGAAGACTATCCATTTGGGCACTTCAATTAAGCAACAAATGCTATGAAAAACATGTCACGTGTGAGGAAGATTCATTTTCCATGACATAATCAAGGGCAAAGTCAGTTATACTATATAACAAAAATAGAATAAATAACTGGATGCTTACTTAGCACGCTGCAGCGCCAATTCAGCTTCAAAACGTTCCCTCCAGGCCATAAAGCTCTCTACAGTAACAGCTTCACCATGGGGTATAATGACCTAATACGCAAGTAAATCTTTCATGCATTAAGTATATGCATTGAAATTGTATATGCTACGGTGAATGGAACAGTAAGTTTCTACAGTCGATAATTCAATAGTATAACACATGTAATAGTCACATTTGCTGGAGTAACCATGTAAGTGGCTCAGTGGGACAAGCAGAAGAAACACTTCAAAACATGCAGCCAATTGCTGCCAGTGGCAGTATATGTACTGTT